TAATTCTGATTGCAAAAGCTACCAGACAGGACAGGATTAAAAAAAAAAAAAAAACAATTCTAAAAACAAGTGATGCAAGACTGGGAAACTTTCTGTTTTAAAATTCAAAAATTCATGATAAAAGGTTTTTTTTAACATTTTATTTTTGACTTTATTCTTTTCTAAATTTAACACATCGTTAAGTTTTTAAATATTACAGATAAATATTACCTTTTTTGAAAAATCTGGTTGAGCTGATTAAATGTTAACAAAATGCTGGACTGGTTCTCATACAGTCCTTATGGCATGAAGACTGGAGCAGCCAGGGATCAAACCACCAACCTGCTCTACCCCCTGAGCTACAGCCATCCATAGTAAAGATAAAGGTTTAGGTTGCTGGGATTAAAATAAGGAACAGTACTGTCATACTTTTCAGTGCATGTCATGCCTTAATATTAAAGCCCGAGACTTGTCCCAGAAAGTGGGAAGATACAGATTTCCTGTAGACAAAGTGACCTTTCTCTCCCAACTTTCTTCCTGAGGTGGTATGTTAATGAATTACTGAGGCCTGTCTAAAGTTGATTACTTCCTCCAGACAATAATGTCCAAAAGTTCTTGGAGCCATTTTAATCACTTTGACTCACAGGATTGAAATGCTGCAGTAGTGCCATTATTAATTATGATTAAATTGGCAATTTTGACTTGGGGTCACAGTCACTGGAGAGCGTATATGTGTATACACTCCCATAATGGAATAGTCACCAAGGTCTGCAAAGTAATTATTAGATTTGGCAGTAATTCCTGGTGGTGGGATGCAGTTCCTGGGAGTGTGATAAGCTGACAAGTGACAGGGCCTGGCTGCAGGTTAAGCCTGGATGTGTGAGACAGGACCGATGTGCTACTACTGGCACAAATTCAGTTTTACATTTTGACTCTATCACTACCTCTCAGTTCAGTTCATTTTATTTGTTTTATTGGCTTGATCATATTCATAATATTGCCAAATCAATGCGTTTATACATTTTGAAACTATGATCCTTGGACTGCATATTTTAGTCAGTAATTTGGTGGTTCTGCAATTAAGAAATTGTACCACACTCGATGGTGTTTGTAATTCAACTTTATTAGGTTTAAATTTCTTTTTTACTATAGATTTAATTTGTTGTTATTCTAAAAATCTAATCTTGTTAATCACATACTGTATATCTATTTTGTGAAATGGAATAAAGTCTGTTCCTTCAAATATATGTTCCAAGTATTTCATTCCTTTACAATTCCATTCTGGGAAGTTAATCATATTAGAAGTCAAATGTCTTTTATTGTGACTATACAGATGTACAATGAGATAAAGAGGATCTCCTACTCAGTGCAGAAAAGGGGGGGCAGTTTCTGCAGCACTACATATGAACAGTATTCAAAAATATAAAATGTATAAATATACAAATTGGGGGAAAAATATTATATATTTACAATGTGGGTTATTCCATGTAAATTAAGTATTGCACAGTGGTGATGGTAATTGTGTAGTCTGTGTATAGAGGGAAGTCCTTGGATTAAGGGTTGGAACTGTGTTGTCAGTGCATGTGTGAGTTCAGGGTGGTTATGGCTTTTGGGAAGAAACTATTCTTGAGTCTGTCGGTTTTTGTGCTGATGCACCTGTAGCACTTCCGTGAGGGAAGCAGTTTGAACAGGTTGCCTTAGTGCAGCTGCCGTACCATACTGTGATACGGTATGTCAGCAGGCTCTAAATGGATGAGTGGCAGAAGGTCAGCAGTAAGTTGGAGTCCTGTTTTGTACATCCTGAGGACCCTCAGCTGCGATACAGTGTGGCCTGTGAGAACATTTCATATGTCAGTTATTAATTAATAAACTATACACAAAGTGCCCTTGACTGGCAGAGATGCAGTAATGTCTTCATGTAGCACAGAGCCATGGCTCAATGTCTGATTTCTAAATGAGTCTCACAGGTCTGAATGTGCACTTAAAACCATTTATAATTTGATCTGCTGCTCACTGGCCTCCTGAGAATGCAGACTTCAACATTGTTGAAGCAGTGTGGGATCATCTTGACAGAGAATGGAAGAAAAGACAGAAACATCCAAAGAAGAGCTTTAAAAGAAGCCTGGAGAACTATTTGTGACCGACACTGTAATTTAACCTGAAAAACTTATTATTATTTGTTGTTTTCACTGTAGAGGATGTGCAAAAGGGTGCAGCTATTGCACTATCTATTGTACATTAGATGGAGGAGTTGTACAGGGAGATGGCCACAGCGAGGAATGATTTCCTGTGTTGTTCGGTGGTGCATTATGGGTAATCTCAGTCTCTCACTGAACATGCTCCTGTGACTGGCTACCAGGTAATGGAGTGGGTGGGAGGTATTGTCCAGCATTGTCCTTGTCTTGGACAACATCTGCCTCTCCAACACCACCTTAAGGGAGCTCCATCCCCACAGCATTACTGGTCTTGAGGTTCAGTGTATTGAGTCTTTTGGCGTCTGGGAGCCTCAACCTGCTGCTCCAGCGAGCAACAGCATAGAGAATGGTACTGGCCACACAGACTCATAAAAAATCCTCAGAAAATAAAGAAAGTTTTCCAACAAAGTTCAGGTTGTGCTGAAGAATGAAGATGGTCGTACCACTCCTAAATCAAGCCTAAAACTGCACTACGCAGCACAGTACTATATGTTTCTGTTGTACCATTCCAGATTAATAAGATGTGTCCATGGGTATGAGCCATGGATAGGAATAAATAATAGCTGTAGCTCTAGCCTTATACACTTGACACACCTCTTTTTGGACAAGCTACTTACCTGCTTCAATTTAGATTTGTTTTTGTGCAGTGACGTTTCATATCAGTGGTTTCTCTGTATAGAAAAACCCACACTGACCAGCCCTTAGTGTTCAACTTCATATATACTGGGCACTGACACTGATGTTCTTAATCATGTTAAATCAGTTTCTCCGTGTTATAATTCCACAGTGAAGCCCCTCCCTCTTTCTCCATTGGAAGCCCTGTCATCCACCCCGGTGGGCGGAGCCGGTGAACGACAGGCCTTAGAGTTGCGGGTTCGGGTGGTGGAGGAAGAGAACCGGGCGCTGCGCCGAGAACTTAGCCGTCCACCTAGGAGCCCATCTGCACAGCTTCCGAGCAATAATCACCGTGGCAACCAAAGCCGAACACATTCAGAGGAAGGCACAGGTGACAATGAGAGCCAGAAAGCTGTTACAGTGGGTAATAGCTCAGACTGTGTCCGACACCCAGTGGTGGATAAGTGCGAGGTGAGATATGTTTAATTTATATTTGTCCTAGCAGGTTCCACAAGCAGGTTTTCTATTCAATTCAATTCAATTCAATTCAATT